CCATGTCGTTAAGGTCAGCACATAATCTGACTCAAAACGCAAAAATCTTTTTAAAAAATTCCCATAGAAAACACGTGAAATTTACAAAAAGTCGATTTTCTGTTTTCCTGAGCGAAAAACGGACAAAATTTTCCCCCCTGTAACCCCCCGCTTGAAATTCGCCAGAACCCGAGGAATCGAATGAGCCCACTTTCAACCCCCTGGGTGAAAATTTAGTATTTTCATATCATCCCCCTGTGACCTTGACTTGAATCATGATGGTCGATTGTCGGATGGTCTCGCATAATGTCCTTCCAATATTAGCCTTCGGAAAAACTTTGTCGCCGTGGCCGAATCGGTTAGAGCGCTCAACTAGACTCTAATCGGAAGGATGCTGGTTCGAATCTGAAGGAGTTTTTTATTCGACAAGTTAAAGGACGTGGGAGGCATGTGAAGTAATTGTTAACACATGAACCGAATTCAACTAACTGTTAACCAGCGGTGAAGTAGACGAGATCGTTATATGGCTTCGGTTGCGAAGGCAGTCGTTCTTGTTTTAGGTTTCGAATTTTTTTAAACCTATTTTACCCAATTTGAATATGATATCAGGTTAAAACCATATTGAATATGTTATCAAGCTAAATCCATGGATTATTATCCCCAGATTTTTTCAAAGATATTTTACTGAATCTGAAAACGATATTTGTAAATAAAATAAAAAAAAAACTTAAATTGATTAAACTGTAAAAAATAACATGCAGGTACAAAGTTATAATACATTAGTATATATATTAATTTATTAAATATTATAATTATTTAGTTTTGATTAAATTTAATATTTTATAATTTAGTAGTATAAATTACAATAAATAATTTACCAAGTTTTGTTTTTAAAGATTTATTTATTTCATTTATATTAGTTTATACATACATATTTCTATACAATTTATATAATCATGTAAAATCATCTTAAGATATAAATACATAAACTTATATTTAATACTAACTAATAAAAAAGTGAAAAACTTATAAATAAATTTTTAATCATGGTAAAAATTATCACTAAAAACCATATTTACAATAATAATAATAAAATAATACATATTGCATATATGATTGGAAAATAGTCAAAAGACTAATAACATATGCAGTAGGAATAGTTTAAGAGTAATTTGATCTCTGCTATATTTTATACTTGATTATCTTTTTATTGATGATGGTAGCTTGTACTTATTGTACCAATATGTATTGTCGTTCGATCCAATATTACATATATTAGAATTTTAGTTAAATAATCAATTAGTATAAAATCTTTCAGAGATAATTGTTATAAAATCTCTCACTGATTAGTACATTAGTGGAATCATGTAAGAATTTTGTGCTAATATAATGTGTATTTATTGGATTCCTTGCTTGACCTATAACAAATCTTAATGAAGCATTTTGTACTGATTGTAGTTTCTTAATATTTTGTTTGTTTGTCATACACCAAATAGGGGAAGCATACATCATTGCGGATCTAATTACATAGGATACATAGTAACGGTTGCTTAATAGTAACGGTTGCAAAATAATTTTACTGAAAATTTTGTGTTAGAGGTTAACGATTACAAAGCAACCTAGCAACGGTTACTAGGCATCGAAAATTACTGACTGTTCTCCTGGTAGAATAAATGAATTGAATATTTTTCGTACTAAATCCATTCTACCAGGAGAACAATAACAATCTTACGGTTACTAGGCATCGAAAATTACTGACTGTTCTCCTGGTAGAATAAATGAATTGAATATTTTTCGTACTAAATCCATTCTACCAGGAGAATATTACAAAGCAACGGTTACTCAAATTCGAACGGATGTGATTCGGGTATGAAGCCATCATGCTACCAATTAATCTAACACATTCCACATTGATCATGCTTTTTACGGCCTCATGACTTGTCAGTTTGTTATATCTAAATATTAACTTCATTTTATTCAACTATACATAAAAACCACAACGTTAGACGTACTGCTAAATTTCTGGCTGGAGAGGTATGATTCGAACTCGGTACCCTTTCGGTACGAAGCCATCACTCTACCAATTAAGGAGGATTTTTTTTTTAGGAATCATGACTTGTTAGTTTGTTATATCTATATATTAACTTTGTGTTATTCAGCAATAAATACATACCACCACGTTAGTCATACAGCTGAATTCTGTTTTATGGCTGGAGGTACGATTCGATCTCGGTACCCTTTCGGTACGAAGCCATCACTCTACCAATTGAGCTAAGACATGCCACATGGATTATGCTTTTTTTCGGCCTCATGACTTGTTAGTTTGTTGTCGCTTAAAATATACAATATCACCTACTTTGTGACGGCTTATCAATGTGATTGTCGTGGCGTCGCGCGTTAGGAGGTGGGAGCCGTGGTAAGGATTTTAGTTCTTGACATAAGTAAGCATTAGGTAAGTTAGTGTAAAGTAGGGAAAGATGTGATAGCGTGAATGAGGTAAAAAATAAATGTAATGATCACACTGACAAATATAAAGATACCTTAATAATAATGAAGATATCTTTGTGCAGAAAAGGAAAAGAAGGAAAGTCTTAAACTTAATTCTTTGTATAAGTTAAAGTTAAGGAAAACTGGCAAATATTTTAAGTATATTAATTAAATTTTCCCAAAAAAAATTTTTTCCCAATTTTATACACATTGGTTTTTTTCTGTAAAAGTTACATTTTTTCCAAGTTATGCTAAAATGTTCAGAGAGCCCTTAAACGTAAAGATGTATAGAAATTTTCACTTTCGATTTTTTTGCGATTACTGTAACTTACCCTACCGAAAGTTAAAAATCATACATTGCACAATAACTAATATATGATCAGGACTTACCTTGTAACTTACGGGGCTCGGATTCTACTTCTACAGAGTAACATCCAGCAATCGGACTCAAATTATACTAGAAAAAGACCAAGATAATTAATGTAATAAAAAAAATAAAATTTATAGAATACGGTTTTGTATGTATTGATGAATAATATTACATTTTGCGCTTATACAACTAGTAAATAAATTCATATTTTTAAATAAGGTTATTTATACAATGATAAAATTTTGAACTAGTTAACGAATAATATGTTTGAATCAATCGTATGCTAATCAAAACAATTTTTTTATTTATCTATATAATTTAAGTTTCTAATAAAATATTTTCAATTCATAATATATATTCGTACATTCACAAAAATTCACATTGAAATTTATACTCGTATATATTTATATTCACACTCAAACACAGCACCCGTATAGTTAAAGACAAACTAATCTTTCACAATTATTTCACTCATATTGAAGTATAAATTACCACATCATCAAATTCATTCGTCAGCGCATATATGTGCTACTCTGTTATATTAATACTATATTTATATAAAATTATTTACAAATTACTTACTAATTTTCTCCTTTAACAGAGTTAACATATAGATGTATGTTGCCTGGTAAAAAATTGATCTCTTCATATACAAACATATTTGGCACATTGATTAAACGAATAATATACTTGGTGGTATATATATATATATATATATATATATATGTAATTGTATATACAATTAATTATATTACAATAATACATATCCTATCACAATTATTATATACATGTAGTGGCAGTTTAAATGCAAGAACTACTTGTTCTGATATATTTACACCAACACAATTTTATTTATTTGAAAAGTATAGAGCCTGCACACATACTGAATCAATTCGAATAATAAATTTTAAGTATTCATATCATTTTAGAGGTTATCTTATAACGTATCTTTTATTAATATGTAGCTTTTACCAGCATTTGGACTGTAGAGACAATTGTGACAGTTTTTAGTACAATTTTATATGGAAAGCGGGGTGTAGCGTTATTTATAAACACAAAAATTTAAAATTAATTATATTTTATAAAACTTTATTTAACATAGTTTGACTTTACTCGACATTTTCGACTCCGCATTTCGAAATTTTCAAAAATTTATATTTTTTCAAAAAAATTAAAAAAAAAATCAATATTATATAAAATATCTAGAATTTTCAAAATTTTAATTCTTAAAAATAATTACGGTACGGGAAGTTCCAGCAACTTGCCTTAAGGCACAATGCCATGCACTACTGGTTACTACTTGGTTTGATTCAGTATTCACAAGCTCTCTAACTTTCATGATGAGTTTCAAGTTTGCTTTATATTTCCGTAGTTTTAATAAATATAATATATACATGAGATATGTAAAAAGAGTATTCATCTATATTAAGTGATGAAAAAGACAATATGATGTTATCATTATTGTCAAAAAATATACCTTATGAATCAAGTATTTTTTATTAAAAATTTTTATTTTAATAAATATCAATACGTAGTAGTATTGATTTATACGGTCATATGCGGAAAATGTAGTTTTTCTAAGGTTGAATTTTTATATATAAATATTTTTATATAAATTTAGCACAGAGTGAACCAATGAAAAATTAATTTAATGGTTAATGATTTTTATAACGTGTCAAAGTACTTCACATATTTTCTTTAAAAGTTTATCAACTTGGTTATGTTAAATATCAATTATCATATTGCAAATTAATAATATAAAATATAATTAAAAGAACGTTTTGATTATTTCATACCGGTTGTGTATTCATTTCAATAAAAGTACTGAGAAAATTTGATGAAGTTAAGTAAAGTCCTTTCTATATATGACCTGTTTTACATAGTATAGACAATGTAATACTTTCTACATGTTGAATCATTGAAAAGACTTGTATAAAATTTCACAACATCTTAACCACAAATTGATTCATATGATAAGATATTTTGCTTATTATTAATTAATATTATTCCCATAATAAAATGTCTCAATATATAAATTATAAAGTCTTTAAAAACAATATTTCAATCAGTAGTATAAAAAAATCAATAATATTACAGTACACAATGATAAAGAACTATATTATAGAATGTTTTTGAGTAAAAATTTAAGATTAACTCAATGTTCTTCAATCATGTTTATACACTAATTCACTGTACCTTGATCACTGAATTTTTATTTGTTTATTTAACAGATTCACTAAGTTTAGCACTCAGGGACAAATCACTGCAGTCTTTTATAAAATATCCAACTCAATCCCGAATTTGTTACTGTGTCGCTGTTTTACATAGATCACATTGTTCTCCGATTTTCTCGTCAGCGTGTCATCATACCTAGAAAATAATAAAAAAAAAATAAAAACCAGTTTTTAATAATATAATTTTGATCACTTACTCTCATTTCGCTTAGCGCCGCTTGCGGAACTCTGTTTTGTGAGCGACCAAGTGTAGCAGTTTGCATCTGCTGTTGCTGTTGCTGCTGTAACATTTGCTGTTGCAGCAATTGTTGTTGTGGCCTATGCTCTGTCGGGCTGTGGCATCTGAAAGTTGTGTGGAATAATACATATTTTTTTATTCACATATTCTCAACTGCCTAGTTAAGGGGCACAACTAGTGTAACCGCCTAAAAAAAGGTGATTTTTGGGAATTTATATTTAAAACAACTACTTCAGAAATCATTTCAAAATTTCAGGAATATATTTATACATGTTTTAAAAATACATAGTAAAATTTTTGAAGAAAGAAATTAAATATTTTTTAAGTTATCGTCGATCTCCAACGGCGCGACAAACAAAGGCCCTTCACTGCTGCAGTAATTCCGGCCTTCTCTACGTGGATAAAAATTTAAAAAAAAAATCTCGTTAACCTAGATAATATTGTCTGTAAAATGAACTACGATAAAGAAAAAAAATCAAAAATTGACAAAATGACGGCGTTTTTTTTTTAAAAGTCGAATTTTACCCAAAATTTTGGTCGTTTTTTGGACTGCCAAAATTCGATTTTTGATCCGATCAAAAATCGATAGTTCATTTTACGGAGAACTATATATAGAACATGCAAAAAAATTTGATAGTGATCGGATCATTTGTTTTTGAGTAATCGCTGCAGTAAATTCGGAAAATGCTGTTTCGAGTAAAACGCGGTTAAAGATTAAATGATCGTCATACTATATACTATATACGTATATACTCTTTAAATGGCTATAACTAAAAAACTATTTAAGATATCGATTTAAAATTATGGTTTGTTATTTTTGAAGGTATAACCTATCGAAATATGCAAAAATTAAGAATTTGATTTTTTGAAAATTTCACACTAGTTGTGCCCTTTAAGGACATTTAGCAAATTTGATAATTTACAATTGTCAGTGATAACTAGTCGTGCCTTAAGGCAAATTGCTGGAACTTCCCGTACCATAATTAAATACTCGAGAAAAAAAAATCAGTAATTATGAAATATTGATCAATGATGAATAACAATTGTTTCAAATATTTTCAAATAGATAATTATAAATTAAAGTTACATTAACATGCCGAATCTATCTGAGGATATGTTACTTACGTTTAGAATAACGCATATGAATTATATATACATTTTTAAAATAAATTGTAAATTGAAAATTTATGTTTTAAGTATAAAACTTTGTATATTTTTGAGAATTAGATTTTTTTCTGAATATTTTAATATTGTTAGAGCCGTACAAGTAAACTTTGAAAATTAAGAATCTTGGTACGAAACCCAAAAAATTGTACCAAAAAAGTACTCATTTTTAAAATCTTTATAAAATACCTAATGATTTGATTAATATATGTCTAATGATCATTTTTGACCTCCAAATAATATTTCTTTCTTACTTTTTCCTCTGTATCTTCGAAACCACTAGACCTGCCTTTTTAAAAATTCAATCAGTTCTACATCTTGTCAAAACAAGCAAAATGTTTTTGAATCGACGAAAAAATTGCATCCAAATTTAGACACACACTCACACATTTTTTCTAAGGTATGCCAAAATGTTCAGAAACTTTTGAAACGTAAAGATATGCAAAAATTTTCATTTTACATTTTTTTACGATTACTATAACTTACCCTACGAGAAGTTAGAAAAGACATTGTATAAAATGACACGTTGGAAAAAACAACTCAGAAGTTAACTTGCCATTCGTTATAAATAATATTACTAGTTTTTTTAAATATTATAGTGTAAACTCAAAATTTTTCTTGTATATAATAAAAAATTTACACGTCAGGAATAGATGTGAAGTGAAGAATTTTTTTCAATCTCCGACGGTAGTATTCATTTAGCAAAGATTTGGCTAGTAGATTTGTGCGGCAGTTCACGAACAAAATCTTATAAAAATTTATTAAATGACTGAAATACAGTATTAAACTAGTACTGTTTAATTAATTAAATTAATATTAATTTGTATAATTATTTTGCATTAAGCTTTAGTCTGAGCGTATGTATATAAAAATATACATACAATATGTATAACAAAAATAAAGAAAAGTAACGATAAGTTTAATGCAAAAACATTTTTTTATCATGAATTATTATATCATCAAACCTTGGAGGCGGTGGTGGTCTAGGAACGGATCCATTAGGTGGTCCATTTGTTGCATTTTGCTGTTGAGGATGCTGCAATGTACTAAATCTACCGCTATTGTGAGTTTGCTGCATTTCTGCAATTACACCTGCAGCATGTCTAGGAAGTGTCAGGCAATCGCTTTGTCGCATCATTTGAGAAGCTGCTACATTTCTGTAATATGATATTCAAAAGTTAATTCACCTGTAATTAGAACTATGGATATAAGATCTACACAAATTTTTAGTTCTACTTCATTGTGATTCTACTTCATACGAACTGCGAATATACAATAGTTTGCTTTGGTTCTAAACATTTACCTCGGAAGTGTGCTGGTTTGGTTGCAGGATTTAACTGCGCTATTAGCCAGATGACGCAATCTTTGCGTGTCAGCCATTATTAATGCATTAACATCACGTTCGACGTCAACGTCACTTCTAACGTTTGTCACGTCACTGCCCACGTAACGTTTCGAAGGAACAAGTGTTGCTTCCATGAAGTGGTCACCCTGGTGAGGTAGTGCTCCGCTTTGGTTAAGTATAGTTGCACCTGGAAATTGATCATTTCGAAAGGATTATATTAAGGGATCCCGGTTTGGCCCGGACAATCCGATTTCCACCTTGTGTTCCAAAAGCAGTATTTGTCCCGGATTGTCCCGATTTTTGAAAAATATAGGTTTAAAATTAAATCTTTGTTCTTACTTGAAAATGAAATTACAACTATAACAAAAATGATATTTACAACAAGTATGGTTACATAAAACAACAATATAAGAATTGAAAGAAAATTGCTTATAGCAAGAGTTCAAACGCGGCTTAAAATTTCAAAGTTTAATTTTCTATTTTACGAAAATTAGCAAAAATTATAAAAAAGAACTTTATGACTGCTTGGCACATATGATCACCTTTTTAATTAATTATAAAGAAAATTAATCAGTACTTTATATGAAGAAAAGGCGAAAAAATTATACATATTGAATTGTTTTGACAGTCATAAATTATGAAAAATATAAACGGTGGTATCGTGCCTTACGAGAGATATGAGTGTCTTGAGATACGAGCAGCGAAATGGGCGACTTGTTTGCTTCGTCATACGATAAAAATTCGAGGGGTCAAAAATATATAGAAAACTTCCGATCAATATCAGGATAACTATTGATAAAAATAATTTTAAAAGAAAAATAAACAAATATTATAAAGAAATTGAATATGAAAAAGATTGAAGAGTTATTTAAATATGTTCAAATATAAGAAGGCTTATAAATTAGCATAAATATGCATACATGAAAACTGTTGCATAATCTTTTATACCAAGCACCTCTGCCTGACAGATATGAAAACATTATGGCAACAAAAGAAAAGAAAATTTTCATTAATAATAATTGTGTCATTATTTTTGAGCTTAGTTCGAGCAATGTGGGACAGAGTTGAAAAGTTTGAGGGGCACCAGAGTTATTTGACCAATCATGTCTAATTCATTTTCACTATACAATAAGTGGATGTAGTACTTTCTGCCTCATCAAAACAATGAAAAGATAAAAAAATAATTTAAAATCTATTTATAGTCTTTGATTATTATTTATGTTGATTGATGTTATTGAATTAAATAAAAATCAACTGGATAGTAGAAAATAAGACATAATAGTTTCACAGATCTAGAAAAGAATCTAGTTTGTTTTCAATGTAGTTGTCTGTTTCCAGTGTAGTTTTTACCACTGAACACGAGTCTATAGTCAAAATTGAAGGTCGAATGGCAAAAATAAAAAAAATAATAATAAACGACAAAATCTACGATCTAGTAGTTCTTTTGCATAATAATTACAATCTAATTTATGTCGTTTTTTGTCTCTTATTATATAAAGGACCATTGGCTTTCAATTTAATGATTTCATTAAGTTTTCTTTGCACAATCTAATAGTAATTTATAAAAATGTTTTCTCTCTATAGCACCTGGGTAATATCTACAACCACGTTTGCAATTTGTTTATGTGAAAATTTGTGGACAGATTAGTGCTGTAATGTACAAAAAAAATGATTTTATCAATTTTACCAGCTTAAGAATTACTATGTTTTTCAATGTTTTGCCCTTACAACCCCAATTTTGACTTCAGATTCGTGTTCAGCGGTAAAAACTACATTGGACAAGATATGACGAGTGTTATGTGTAAGAAACGAATTGATCACATTTTAATGTATCCATATGAAAGTAAAATGCTTCGAGATACGAGCAATTTAACATGCATCCGTGATTACAAAACGAATTGACCTCGTAAGGTGGGGTACCACTCTATTTCTAAACTAAAGTAGGTATACAAGATATTTAACCTGTAGGTCCTCTTTGTTGTACAGTTTTCGCTTCCAATCTGGTCTTGTCCCGTTGATAATAGACGCCCGCAAATATGAGAACATTGAGTATCAGTAACGAGCATCCCACGGCAATGGTGACACTCAAAGCGGTCGAGTACGCCGAATAGCCGGCATTGTCGGAATGCAACGACGGCGGTGGAGCCTGCTGATCGCTCTCCTGGTTAATGTTGTGCAAGGAATTCAGACTTGTACTATTGGCCAGCTGGAATGAAAAACAATATTTGTAAAACAATTTAATATATTTTTCACTTAGGTGGCGGGGGCATTAATCACGTGTGGTTATTAGGGGAAAAGGGGGTTTGACAAAAAATAAAAAAATAACACATGGGGGAGGGATGGGTATGGTAAGATATCACGTGCATTAATTTTTACCTGAGTTTTTTTTAAAAATCTTAACATATTCAACAAAAATAAAAAAAAATACAATTTTTCTCGGAACTAAAATTACACGTAACGTTTCATGGGGGAGGGGAGGGTAATTTCGAATATCACCACGTATTACCAAGGGGGAGAGGGGGTCCAAAAATCTTTAAAAAATCGATCACTTGATCAATGGACGCCCCCTTAATAATACATTACTATTTTAAGAAATAACGTATTTAGGATACGTTTATGCATAAATCACATTTTAATAATTCTCATTTTTGAACAGCAAATAGAATTACTATTATATATAACAAGTATGTGTGTATAAATATAAATGAGATTATTTAAGTTTTTGTATTTTTGTATTTATAATATTTGAAAATATTAGTTAAAATGCAATAACTTTTAAATAATTTTAAAATTTTGAATTCATAGTTCAAACACAAAGTGTTAATTGTTGAAAACTTCCAGTATTATTTTTGATTGTGGTCCTTGAAATGTTATTCACGGTTACGGTTTCAAAGCTCAAATGAATAAAATCAGTAAAAATTAACGACAATAGCTCAAAAATAGTCATAATTTCACCAAAGATCTAAATCACACTTAAAATTTAAAGTAAGGAAACAGGACATGCACCACTATAGTTATACGTATTATTTTGTGTCTAATCAATCAAAAAATTATGTCAGTTTATACCCCATCCATTAATCTGAATACTCACATGTTTTTATTTTGTTATAAACACCTTTGCTGTTTTCAAAAAACAAAATTTAACCTAAACTTTTACTTAATGCCTTACTATTTTAAGAAACAATTGTTAAATTATTACCTAATTATATAGATGAACATGAGCTTATATTGCCTGATGTTTATGGTAATATTATTATGTCTTTAATTAATTGAAAAAATCTAGTTCATTTATCTTTAATCACTTAATCTAATCAAATTCTCGTACAAAATTCATTTTTTACATCAAAACTTTTAAACAACGAGAGATTTTTTTAAGAATTATATTCAGGATAGTTAATGTCAATACTATCATCCGTTTCGACTTGACGTCAAGTTCTGGAACACTGTGTATAATTAGAAATTACAAGATTTAAAAACTGAGTAACATATTAAAAACTCGTGGTTTTTAATTACTGAATATCTCAAGAAAACGTATGATAATATAAATAAACCAATAATGAATTAATTACATTAAGTGAAGTTTGAGCTAGTAAATTTGAAAGTTTCCAAATAAATCACAAGTGAGGTAATTATATAAAGTATCAAAATATTATATATAGAATCAAAATTAATAAAAATTTTAATATTAAATGTACTTTTTAATAGCCATTATTCAATGTGACTTTTTTACAACAAATTTTACTACTTTAAAAATGTTATCATATGGATGACGTTTCAATAGAAATATTATGCATTATTTGTCTTACTGTATTTTTATCTAAATTATTCAATAAAACTTAATGGTTCCGTTAATATTTGTGACTAAAACAAAAATTGAAAAAAAAAAACAAAACTGTTCTTTGAGCTGCTGCGATGATTCTTCTCGTTAATGGTGCCTTTTTGAAAAAAATCATTCAATTACTATCATAGTCATATTTTTATCCGTCTGGAACTGTATTTTAATCAACATAAAAGCTAAAATTATATACACAATCCGTGCAAGTAATTCAATTATTTTAAAATATTTTAATTTATTGAACATCTACTTTATAATAAAAAAAGAAACAAAAGATGAAAAATATACAAAGATTAATATATCATATAGCTAATTCGTCACTTGTTTTTCGTGTAGGCGATTTCAATTACATGTCTTACCTGAATATTAAACATTCCATTGACAGCAACTGTAGGTGTAACGCATGTGACGTATTCTCCATAAAGACCTGGTCCGTCCAAACCATTATTATTAGAACCACCGATAATGTTTACACCTCCAGGTGGCAAATCATCAAAATCATCAGTCAAAATATTTCCTGCATCATCCTTTAATTGCCTTACTAGGCCATCATATAAATTAGGATCGGAATGATGTCTGTAAAATAATAATAAAAGTTGTTGTACAAGAGTTGAATAAGATTATTGTATAAACCTTTGAATGGAAAATTTATACTAGATCATAAAAATGAAATAACTGTATATAAACTTTCAAATTTTTTTTTTTAATTTTAACGTATTGTTTTTGTGTTTATTAGAAAAAATATTACCTAAATAAATTATGCCTTGTACCAGCATCTTCACTTCCTGATCGATGAAGTTCAGGTACAAGTCGCAGCCATACTGATAATTGGTGAGCACGAAAATGGTTTTTCAGTCGTGGTTTCATACCTGAAAAATTTATTATATATTATTATCACTATTTATGATTCGATATAACCAATTATGATTTGGACATAGGCTCCAAAGGGAGAAAGATGTAGAACGTTTGTTGAAAATGTTCCCTTTATTGCATTAGTAGACCGCATTGCTTTTTAACAGTCAGACGATAAGCTTTTTTGTTCATAATAATTACTGTCGTTGAAAAACATTCGTGGGCATACCCTTTGGTTTTTAATCTATTATATGTCTACACTGCAAGAACGGTTGTCACAATCGCCCTGTTCTTGCATGATTGGATTATGACTATATCGATGGATGTTCTGATACATCGTATTTCAGTATTTTAGTATTTCCACGTAGAATAATGTTGCACGTTTGATATTCGTACGCTTTTTAGATAAGGTTGTCCTATCTAAAACGCCTTTCTGCAATTCAACCACATGGCATTTTGACAGTATTTAGTGCCATTTTGTATGAGAAGCGCTACGTCACACAGCACCTACGTAACATTGGTCTATTTTACGACAAAATCGGCCCCTATAAATACGTACCATCTTTGAGTATTATATGTATATTCCTCCATGGGGTCTCTGTAATGTATTGATAGCTTTAGGAAAGAGTTTTAATAACATCGCACGATCTGAAGAGCTATTCGGTAAAGAATTCGCATTAAAATCAATCAACGCCTCTCTTTCGGACATTATATAGGATCCCATGTTGGGTGAAAAGGAGAAAATACAACGCGAACACATGGATAGCACACACACACTTTCCTAACTCGTGAAAAACAGATTGAAAAACGAATATTTTAAGCCGGATAGGAAATTCCATGGACGCATCTTCACGTATATAATACAAACGGGGGAAAAGTTAGCAAACACTTGAAGATTTTGTTTATAAATTCTTGACTTTCTTTATTATTTTTTAGTTTCAAAAGTTTATTACAAGCATTAATTACGAAGGTAAAATAATAATTTGCAAACATAATAAATTTGACAAAAAACAGATAAAGCTGTAAGAATAAAAATATTAGCAGACCCAGGATAAATAAAAATTTGAATTTGTACTAAACCAAACTAAAAAATAATTATATACTTTTATTCTTATACAGCTAGAGTTTAGTTTTATTCATTTTATATATACTAGCTGGCCCGGCAAACGATGTTTAGACTTAAAAAATATTTAAAAAAAAATTGTATTTATTTGTACTGATTGTAAATGTAGAAGTGCGTACTATGTAAGTGAAAGAGACAGCTAACATGAATTAAATGGATGGTTTACCCCCTGAAACGCATGCCACATAAATGTTTCTGAGACATATTATTAGTCATTCAAGTGCCAGCTTTATCTGAAACCGATTTAATTTCAATTGAATTGGCACATTCGAATATTCAAGGTTTTTATATATTATTATCGCGCTTTTCATTAATTCATTACGAATTTTGGAATTACGAAACAAAATTCTAACATTTATATTTGCATTAGGTTATGGCATGTCGAATGCCATGTCAAATCGAGTCAGAAATGTTAAAAAATCTACACTTTTCCATAGGTTTGTACAGTGTCCTAGTTTCCTCTCAAAACCTGTTATATTTTCAAATAATATTTTTGCTCTTTCTGCAAATCATTTAAGAACTAAGTACTACGTGCTCACATATTTGTGCAATGAAATAATATGTTGTGCAAAAATCTATCATTGATTTGATGTATCTAGTTTTCTTGATGGTAACCTTTAAAAATTAGAATGAAAAAAATGTACGACAAAATTAAAAACAGTGTCACAGGTTTGGATAATCCTTGATTAAAATAGTTTTTGAAGTAAAATTTGATCTTTTTCCTAAAGACAAAAAAAACTAATCTAAAATAAATCACAAACATTCATCACTGCACGTGGGATGAATAACAATTATTCGATCATTTATAAAATAGGGGTTTGTTGTAAAATATTGAAAATTTAATTATCTGAAAGCAGTATAGTTCATATGACTCAAAAGGGACTGATAGCTGTATATATTATATGTTAACTTCATTCGTTTTTTATCGCTCGTTTATTGTCTCTAAATACACTCTCTACAATATTCATCTCTATCTCACTTTTTGACTCTCACAATATAATAATCTACTCACTCGACACTCACATATTATGCAGTTGTTATTTTATCCATATGTCATGCTATTTACGTCAATATGTATTTAAATATTCACTTCCTCTTGAATATTAGAATAAAATTTAAAGAATTTCTATAATGCTATGCTTCCCTAAATGTATGGTTGTTATTTCCTTATATTCTCTACAAAGCAACTTCTACCCCTGTGTTATTATTATGAAAAACTTGCTTTCAGCTGCAATCAATAATCGTTTTTGAGATTTTAACTTTAACCTCTTTCCGCAACGATGAACTTGGAATATTCTAAGCGTATAATATCCAAGCACCTATATGGGAGAATGCATGAATCGCGATATTCTTAACACGCGCGAATAAAAAAATCCATTTAATATATTGTGTAAGTTTTAGAAAGGTCCGTAGTAGGAAATACAATACTGGTGTACCGTTCAGATTTAGCTTAAGAATATTGGTATTTTTGGTATTGAAACAAAAGTGCTAGAAAATACATTTTACACTTGAATTTCAGTGTTTTGGAATTATTGAAACTTTAAATCTCATAATCGCTTAAAACAGATATCTCAAGTCGTTTTATTGTATAAACTTTCCCTTAGAAGTACATACAAAAATTGCATCATATTAGTATAGCGATTTCTTTTTATTAATCAGCGATTTATTTTTATTAAAAAATTCATTTAATCATAACATATGTAAATAAAACTATGTAAACTTATAAATTATTGCTTGAAGTCTTTTTTAGTATTAAGCCTGAAAAGCTTCGCACGGCTCTCTAATGTCGGCGCCAAACAGCCTCTAGAGGAAAATGCATTGGAAAAATTGAAACAACAGTATTTTAATAATTTTTTTTTTGTGAAAAAGTTTTGTGTGTATGAGTTAATATCTTGAGAATGGGTTCAAAAAAATCATTTTTTGCTGAGTAAAATACCAAAAAGGATGATTTTCTGCAATTTTTGTATGGCAGACCTCTAAGGAGAGGGTGAACGATGGACATGGGTGGCTTGGCCTAAGTTAGAGAGGGGTTGGTCATACATTTGGACGTGATTGGGGCACTCTAAATGTGCCGAAACGGAATTTTTCAAAACTCAAACTTCATGTTTAGGTCAATGCACGGGACATTAGAATTCATTTTAGAGGTATGTTTTTTCAGCAAAGTATCTTATTTTGATCTCTAGTATCCGAAAATCATATGTGCCTAAGCAACTTTTAAATCGACCTGCCTTAATATATATATATATATATTAGGGTGGTCCTTAATATGGACATTTTCGAATTTCCTTGCCCCAACAGCTCAAATGGTTCCAAATTGATAGAAAACAATTCTCTGAAAGTTTTAGCTCTTAATATTGTCTTTTAGATAGAGCGCAATTCAATCAAAGTTTTGTATAGAAATAGCATGAAAAAATTTACAAAAATTTTGTAGAGCGTCGAATTTTCAATAAAAAATGTCACGAATTTTCACTTTTAATCAACTTATCGCTAAGTTATACCTAAAATTTTTTTTTAAATTTTCAAAATTTTTCCATGCTATTTTCATACGAAGTTTGATTGAATTGCGCTCTTCTAAAAGAAAATATTAAGAGCTAAAGCTTTGAGAGAATTGTTTCTTATCAATTTGGAACTATTTGAGCCCTTGGGAGCAAGGAAATTCGAAAATGTCCATATTAAGAAATACCCTAATATATATATATATATATATATATATATATATATTATAAATATCGTTTGAGAAAAGTGCATTATTCAATTAAAACTGACAGTTTGCCATTTCTCAATTACAAAGTTTTACGCACGACTGGAAATTATAAATGCTTTTTTAACGCTAGGTTGAAGTTTGCGAATGATTTAGGTATTGAAGAAAGCTAAAAACGACGAGAAGAATTTTTCGTAGTATTCTGGAAACATTCACATTTACATGATAGTCGAATAAAAATTTACATAAAATTGCATAGGAATTGCACCGTAATTTGAATATATGTGCTTTTATTACGGTGATGTTTGAATCAGATTTAAATCACATTTGTAAGAATCATGGTAATATGTTGGTTAACTAGGAATATAAAATATTATTTTGCATCCTATTAATATGTTAAATTTAAATTTAGGTATCAAGAAATACAGCACGATATAAAAATAAACTAGTGGGGCGCATGGTATCGTGCCTTAAGGCAAATTGCTGGAACTTCCTGTACCAAAAATTATTTTTCTTAAAAAGACTAACATTTTTGAAAAAAATTTACTCAGAAAAAAATATTTTTTTGAAAAGATTATCATTTTTGAAAAAAAAAATACTCAGAAAAAATTAGGCTACAGTTGCCTTTGCCAAAAACTAATCACACCGTCTCCTTATCAATACGAATCGAATGTTTTTTAAATTATTCAAATCGCTTCATCCGTGTTCCCGAAATCGTCGACGAACATTTGTATTCGAACACACACACATACACGCACACACACATGCATCCATTTTTTCTAAGGTATGCCAAAATGTTCAGAAGGTTTTGAAACGTAAAGATATATGAAATATGAAAATTTTCATTTTCGATTTGTTTGCGATTACTATAACTTGCTCTACGGGAAGTTAATAATTAATTTTGTTATCTAGGATTGAATAAAGAACATTAATCTTACACTATTTTAAATAATTGTGTAGAATGAAATATAATATTCTTTCAAGGCGTACATTTGAAAGTACCCTAAACCTAAAACCAGTTACAAATGATTCCCAAATATTAGCAAACTTTTATATCCGTGCAATATTTTGGTATTTTCTGGCGCACCTATTTTGATTCATGTATCCAATATCGAATACTATTTATATTATAACTTTCCATCGATAAATAATAAATAATAGTTGCAGCGTAAAACTAATAACATTATCTTCGA